AACAGATGCTATTCACAAGTCTCTGTGCACTGATGGCAATTACCACCTGTTCTGCTTCATCTATTAGTGCTATGCATGAAAAAGAAACCAAGAGACAGAAAAAGGCAGACACGAACCTTTATTGTGACAGTTGTATTTTAAATTCTTTCATTAAAACTTCATACCATACCATACAAAATAACAGTAGCATAAATGCAAAGGATAGATAATTGCATCACTATCCTGTGCTAAGACAAGATAACTAGAGCAGGCTCACAAAGGTCTCACTTCCATTCCCTCCTCCCCTTTACGGATGGGAGGGAAGGACTGTCTGCTTTCTGTAGATACCTGGGAAAAGAATCAACCAGAGATGCCTCACACTTCTCATTCTCACCAATTCAGAACTGGTTGTGTTAACTCATGGCCTAACTTGGTAGCAGGTTTCACTAACATAAAATGACAATAACAAAACAGATGGATCAGGGTATAAATTTGTAAAGATAGTTTAACTATAGAGAAAAAAATCTCAAACTTTATAGATAAAAAGAAAACTGAGAAAGAAAATATTCTAATATGTAGGTTAACAATGGGTCTGAACAATAGGACTAGAGCTCTATCTTCCTTTCTTTTTTCTACATATTAAAATATTTTTTCTAACATATTTAGTTTAATAAGAAAAACTCAAAATGTGCTATTACTATTATTTGTATGTGATAATCTTTAAAACACTTACTACCACAGTGACAGGCTAATACATGCTATTTATTTATTTATTTATTTGACAGGTAGAGCTATAGACAGGAAGAGACAGAGAGAAAGGTCTTCCTTCCATTGGTTCACCCCCAAAATGGCCGCTACAGCCGGCACTGTTCTGTTCCAAAGCCAGGAGCCAGGTGCTTCTTCCTGGTCTCCCATGCGGGTGCAGGGGCCATAGCACTTGGGCCATCCTCCACTGCCCTCCCGGGCCACAGCAGAGAGCTGGACTGGAAGAGGAGCAACCAGGACTAGAACCCCGCACTCATGTGGGATGCTGGCGCCACAGGTGGAGGATTAACCAAGTAAGCCAGTACATGTTGTTTAAAATTCAGTAACTTTATTCACTAAAGCAACTTAAAATCTTTGTTCAAGTTATTCCAAAGTATTGGTTTGCATAAAAGATACAACTGAGTTTGGCCTCCTCTCAGTATGAATTATTGACATGGCACTGCAAATAGAAGTTATATACTGTTCTACCAACATGTCACAGAATATATCACAGAAATACTATGTATAATCAGTTCTGTCTCTATAAAAGCACAGGATTTTATTGAACAAAAGACAGTTTACTTACTGCAAGGTACTGTGCTCCAATGACCATTCTGTCATTTAACAACTGCAATAATACAAACAAAAATAGACACTTCAGCCTCAAAGAGACAAAGAGAGTGTGTGTGTGCAAAATAAGAAACCTGAAGTCACACTCAACAATATTAAATGTTCCTTAACTAATACACCTACTGTCAGTTACCTCTCAAATAACTATAATGGAATCTCTCAGCTGCGACTCCATCCACATGTCAGCCTTGAGAGAAAGAAGGCAACTGCTCCAGTCTGGGAAATTCAGGGGGATTAAGAGTACCCAGAGCACTACTATTTTGTTTAAAGCATGCTGGAAATGCATTAGAGAACTCTTTGGTTTAGAAATCCTATTTGAGCATTTGAGGGAAGCCTCAGGGCTGAGCTTCCATTTGTTTATACACAAGCAGAATATGAACTCATGAACCTGGAAGGCAGTGTATAATTTTACTGTTTATTCTCCCTAAATTGTTAGACTTAAAACTTTTCATCATAAATCCTAAAATGGTCACATTACCAGCAACTTCACTATCTCATAACCATTCCCACCATTTAAAATCCTTCTCCAATAACACTAAATATCTGCTGCCAGTAATTACACTGAGAGTTCCTCTTCAAACAAGTATCTCTATGATTAATCAGAGAATATAATTAGGGGAACATATCTTTGAGAATGGAGAGGAATATAAAATGAAAGGCAAACTTTCAGATGAATTTTCTCAACTTCTTTCTACATCCCATTCCAGTGGAACCATCAAATCCACTATTCCAGAAAAGATGTAGTTATTTACAAACATTGTCATTACTTAGTATTCATAATGTGTTTTTAATACACCAATAAAATTAGAGTGAAATTTTAGGGAGTAATGAATCAAAAGTATTCATATGTCCTCAAACTGTATTCAAAGATCTATAAAACAGCACCATTTTAAAAGATTTAGTTAGGTAGAAAGAGCAGACCTAAAGTTAAAGGTATGAATTAGTCATGTGACATAAATATGACATGGCTGCAAGTCAAGGACTTCAAGGACTAACACTGTTACAGGTGGCCATGGGCCACAAGAAAGCTACACATCAAGGCACTTGTTATCTGTCAAAAGGAGAAAGGAAATGAGAAGAATGGATGTCCAGGTTACAGTTTTTATATCAAACAGTCAGAGAAAAATACCCTGCAACAGGCAGGATCAGCAGAAATGTACTTACATGGGTGAGATCTGTTACTAAACTGCTGGCTTGTGTCCTGCTCTGGTAGTATGTACCACCACTGGAGAACTACAGTGTCAGAGCTCTTTGCAGCACTCCCTGGTATGAAAGCACCATTGTGCACATGGGGCAGGACTTAAGATTCAACTAAAAAGCTGTGCCATTTTGGTTAGAAATTGTAACTATAACTCATCTATCCTTATATACTTTTAGATTAGATTTCCCATACAGTCCTTGTTATAAGTCATAAAAACAAATATTTTATTATAAAAGAGCCTAAAGGAAAGGTACATGGTATATAGTAAAGCAAAAACATTCATCAGTTTCAAAGATCAAAGCCTTTGAAATGTTCCTGAAATACAGATGCTCCTTGACTGAACATGAGGTTATTACCCACTTATAAACCCATCATTGGTTGAAATACCCAAAGCTAAAAATACATTCAATACACCTAACCTATGGAACATCCTAACACAGCAGTACAGTACTCTGCAGAGCATCACAGGGCTGGCTGGAAGACGTGGCTCCTGCCAGTACCCAGCATTGCCAGAACTGCAAATAAGAATATGCTGCAAATCACTAGCCCAGAAAATGTTCAAAATTCAAAGTATGGTTTCTACTGAATGCATACTGTATTCACACCATCATGATATCAAAAAATCTTAAGTCAGGTACCACTGATATTATTGATTTGCAGATTTTTAATAACATGAGCACAATGAGTTTTTATTTTATATTTGAACACAAACAAAACATACAAAAAGATTCACTCTCAAAAATAAACATTCTGTGTACATTTGGCCCGAACCAAAAACTGATGTGTTAAAAATCAGACATAGAGTTTGGAAAATAAAGAATATGACAACATTTAAAAAATACAACATAGTACATATAGAGTTTAGGAATTTCTTTATTAAACAGCATAATTTCCATGTAGTTGTTCCTATTAAACCTTATTTCTGCCTACTCACCCCATTCAAACTCTATCTCCACTCTACAGACAGCACTACTCTGATCAAAGAGCTTGGTCATCCCTCTGAATTTTGCTGCCACCTCTCAGTCTGCCTTCAATACTACTTTTGTCAAAAAGCAAAGGCCTATCAGAGATAAGCTCAGGTGACACACCGCACACCGCCATCTGTTTTAAACCATGTGTTCCCAACAGGACAGGAGACTCGCCTCAGTGGACCCCAGCTCTAGGTGTCTATTGTGACAGTGATGCTCTCACAACCTTTCTCTCAAAGCTATTCTCTGCAGCCTCCTCCACAGCTCACACAATTCAGCATTTAGTTCCTTCCTAAAGCAACTGTAAAAATGCAGGAGGCCATGCCCCATTAACCTAGGACTCTGAGGTCTTTATTTCCTGGGCTCTTTGATAACCTACCCACATAATAAAAAGGAAAAACACTGCAATATTAATAGACCTGGCTATTACTGCTTCATGGGAACAAAGCCACCCTCTGATTCTGGGGCAAAACAGAACCTGAATGTTTTATCTGTAACTAACTCAGGAATACACCCCCTTCTTTATACAGACAGTGCCACAAAAACCACTTCTCTCAGGGTTAATATTCCAAATGGGACAGAATGCTCACTTCTCTCAAAACTGACCTAACATTTTTTCAACTGAGCCATTTCTTTCAGTTTAGATCTGTTCTTGCCTTTGCCAATTAGAAATGTGAGGGTTCTTTTTATTTAGGAATATAAAAAATATAAATGAGGTGGCGGGGCAGCAATATGGTTGGTTTTTCTGCATTCTTTAAAAAAGTTTCCCCCCTGAGTTCACATGTGAAAAAACAATGAATATCATTTTTTCTCAAGAGTGACTAGATTAAGAGAATGGAATATGACAAGATAGGAAAACTTACCCTTTAACAAACATGAGATATTCAACTCCCAATAAAATAATAACAATAATAAAATATTCATACCAATTATATACTCTTTTAGTGACATTTTATGCATTCTATTCTTTGCTCTCAGTAACAGATAAACATGAATCATGGTGGAAATAATGCCAAGTTAAGCACTAGAGGCAGCATTCATTAGCAGGATGAAATAGAAAATGGTCAGGTAAATAAATACTACAACACAAAATGTATTGGTGATGACACTGCACTAAAATAACATAAATGAGGTTTACAACACTTTATTTTATTTTTGGCTGGGAAGCCCTATTAGAAACATTTGCATTAAACTACCCCATACCATTCCCCATCCCTACAACTGAACAAGCCACACGAACAAAAATTGTTCATAACTGTAATATCATGAAGAGTTTGTATTCATGGCTCTTTTGTCTTGGTGGTTTTCAGACCAGGAAATGAGCTCCATTAAGTAGTCTCACTGATTTCTCCATCTTGAATAGCTGCCAGTTCTGGAATCTCATTCATCCTCAGAATCTCTGCATAGAGCAAGTAATTATGTAGGCTCCTGGGAAGTGGCAATTGACAGATAAAATTCTCTGTTCGTAGATGTTCTGGTTTTAGGCTAGACCGAATTTCCAAACGGCAAAGGTGGGTCAGAGACGGAACAGAGGCTAGAGAAACAAATCAAAAAAAAAAAAAAAAAAGGCAAGGTAAAAAATTTGAAATAAGACATGAAGACACACACCACCCCCTCCCTACACCCCCACTTCTGTGTAGTAACAGAGAATTAAGACATTGCTTAGACTTACTCTGAAAAAAGACTTCTTGGGCCTGATGACCACAACAAACCATATTTACCCTTTTCTACAGCCTTCACCTGGCTCCTTTCCCTCCAGTTGTCAGCCACACAAAGTCAGTACAGTACCCAGTGCCACAAAACTAAATGTTTACACTCTAAAGATCTGACAATAACAACTGGCACTTGAGAAATGAATGAACTAACTTTAGAAATGTTAGAAGCTCAAAGCAACAAATGCTACATCCCTTTTAGTCTGTTTCATCGTAAACAGTCTCTGACCTACCACATCAAGTGAATGGATATGCAGCTTGCAAGTTCTCCTCTTTTTATCTGACATAAAATGAAATTTTAAAATTGGCACAAAAAAAGAACATTTACTGAGTGCCTTCTATACCATATGTCCATGCATTTCACACATAGTCTCTTTTCATCTTCATTAACTCTATGATGCTATTATAGATGTGAGAAGTTTAAAAAGTTTAAGTTTCCAAAGGCCACAAAGCTAGTGAATGGCAGAGTAAGCATTCAAACCAAGATCTACCTGACCTCAGTGCCTCTGTGCTGTGTAACTGTTTGCTGAAGCTGCTGCAGCCAATAGCTAACTACTAATTTAAAGGATAATCTGCATGCATGTAATTAAGAAGCACAGGACAACCATTTCATTTTCCAAGATGAAAACTGAGAGTACTAAAATGTTATTTTATGTGAAACAAACATAAAGCCTTTTGTTAGTACAAGAAATCTTTTATAAATCCCTGTGAAATGTAGCAATGGTTAACAGACTAGGATCAGAACATCAAAGACAAGTTCTGGCAAGAGCACAGCTGATATCAGACAGCTGCTCTGACTCCAAATCCAGGGTTCCTTAAATACTACTTAAATACTTAATTAAACACTTAACTCCTTAAATACTAACTAGTGGGACTAAGAGGAGCTAATTCTCTAACATCTTCAATTTTGTTTAGCTTATTCAGACTTTAAGAACCTCCTCAAATTAGTGTTTCAAAATGCTAAATAAGAAAGAAAAAGTTCTTTACATTTATTTAGTTAGTTAGCTAGTTATCTGAAAGGGAGAGAGACAGAAAGGATCTTCCATCTGCTGGTTCACTCCCCCAACAACCAAGGGTGGGTAAGGAAAAAGGGAAGCGCTCAGAATACCAGCTGGATCTCTCATGTTGGCGGCAGGGACCCAAGTACTAGAGCCATCAACTGCTGCCCCCAGGGTGCACATTAGAAGGAAGCTGGATGAAAAGCAAAAGTGCAACACGAACCCCGGCACTCCAATATGGGATGCAGGTATCCCAAGTAGTGGTTTGACTGCTGTGCCACATTGCCTGTCCCAGTTATCTGTTTTTGCAATAAAACATGAGTCTAAGAAAAGATGGGTATTTTCTTGACCAATGAGTCACAGAGTCAGTATAAATAACAAGACTGTGGCATTTGCAACAGTATTACATCCATTTCCACAGTGTTTTCACATCTAAATCTTATTTAAACTTTACCTTTTTCTATAAGCTTAAAGGGGGAATCACTGTTCTCATTTGAAAAATTGGAAAAACAAAACAAAACAAAACAAAAAAACAGGTAAAGGGAGTCCTGGAGGGATGATCAGGGATACACATGGAGATCGTACCCAAAGGGAACGTCAGTTCTCCAAAGGTGCGCAGAGGCTAAGTTCAATCGTTAAGTATAAAGATGTCTCTTTCCCAGTAAGATCAAGAACAATTAATTGGTCAGTTAATGGAAAGTTACCTTAAAGCAGTTGACCAAACCACACATATTTTAAACATTCTAACTGAAAATGTATACATCAGGGGTTGGCATCCTGGTGTAGCAGGTAAAGCTGTCACCTGCAACACTGATATCCCACATGGGTGTTGGCTCAAGTCCCAGCTGCTCTGCTTCTGATCCAGCTCCCTGCTAATGATCCTGGGAAAGTAATGGAAGACTGCCCAACTGCATGGGCCCCCACACTAATGTGGGAGACACCTGGAAGAAGCTCCTCACTCCTGGCTTCGTTCCGACCAAGCCCTGACCATTGCAGCCATTGGGGAGTGAACCAGCAGATGGAAGACCTCCCTCTCTCTCTTTCAAATAAATTAAATCAATAAATAAAATGTATAAACCAACCATCTCCATAATGCATCATCTGTGGCTTGTAGCTTCACTTTCTTTTTTTTTTTTTTAAGATTTATTTTATTTATTTGAAAGACAGTTACATAGAGAGGTAGAGACAGAGAGAGAGGTCTTCCATCCGCTGGTTCACTCCCCAGATGGCCGCGACGGCCGGAGCTGTGCCGATCCGAAACCAGGAGCCAGGAGCTTCTTCTGGGTCTCCCACACGGGTGCAGGGGCCCAAGCACTTGGGCCATCTTCTACTGCTTTCCCAGGCCATAGCAGAGAGCTGGATGGGAAGAGGAGCAGCTGGGACTAGAACCGGCGTCCATATGGGATGCTAGCGCTTCAGGCCAGGGCTTTAACCTGCTGCGCCACAGGGCTGGCCCCAGCTTCACTTTCAATTATGACAGATTTAAAGATACACATAAACCAAAGTGAGCATACAGTCCTTTTACATTTTTACAATTGTTTTCATATCATTCAGTCGCCTTACCCACATCTAATTCAACTTCCATTCCTAATGAACACTTTATGAAATACTTTTAAAGCATTCAATTTTTCCTTAATATAAACAATGATTCTCTTTTCTCAGTCATAATTCTCTGGGTTACACAATTTGGAATTAAGTAATTCCAGTAATATGTTAAATATAATACAAGTTACATAAATAAACACAGTTCAGCTGGGAGAGTCAAAAGTATGTTTGCATTCTAGAGAGTAGCCTTTCAGCTGCAAATACTGAGCATGCGGACCCAGTCATATGTGACTGCGACAAGAAATAACAAGACTAGTTAATCCAGTGTGTGGGTTACAGGAAAGCTGGTTAACAGAATTTCTAATTATATTCAGTCAGAGTTTAGTAACTATCTGCTAAATTGAATATCTTCATTCTGCACATTCTTGTTAATCCAGATACTTATGATATACCTAGAAGGAAGATAAAGGATGGCTGTGCTACTTGGAGGAGAGCCACTCACTCAGGGATAAAAGATGCTTACTGCCACTACAGCATCTCTGGTTGAACAAACTACTCAAAACTCCTCAGGAAGACTGGGAAAGTTTCTCTGGCCCTCCATAAACTTCCTGCAGTGCTGACACACTTTTTTAGGTTGTCTGACTACATCACCAGAGCCCCATCTGTAAAGCTTAATGAATCATTTGATTGTGCACCTATGTGTGTAGAAGCTTAACTATTTGCCATCAACTTAAACTGGTCCCGTACATATTTTTTATGGGATGCTTAAGTGACTTGTCCACTGTGACACTGTACATCAACACAGCTGTCATCAACTACAAATTATCTTGATCCAAGTCTAGGGTTCTGTAATCTGTGAAAAGCCAATAATATTTTTCTAAGATTTTGAAATCACTATTAACTATCATAAGTTTCAGAACCTTGCTATTCAATAATAATTGTAATAGGGTAGGGTAGAGTTACTTCAGACATTGGTTTCAATTTTAATTGTACCACTCTGGGTTTTCTCTTAACAGCACAACAGTTCAATGGCCTAACAAACAATTAGAGGTAAGAACTGTGTTCACAACTGAACTGAGGGAGTCTTTCATCTATAGGCTTAACATAGTTAATATTATACCCATCATTGTCATTTTAGTTTAATATGCAGTGAATACTAAGGGAATGTTATAACCATATATGTAATATTTCCAAGCATGCAAAATTCCAAAGTTTTAGTGATGCATAGTACTTCCAGATGTGCTGCCACTAGGCTGAGAGAAGATCAAACCATGCCTTGGATTTATAATATGAAAAGACTGCAGGAACAGTATGTAAAACATACTTTCATGGAAACTCTTTAAAACTAATTTTAATTTGCCAAGTAAATCTCTGTGCTCTTGGATTAAGGCAATGACTGTAGCTTAGAAAATGAAGTCTGAAACCATGGTATACTTTGTCACTTTTCTAAACCAATCATTTTCTATTTTACATGTTAAATTTAGTTTCTTTACAGATCAATCAGCAGATAAGCAACCTTTTAACTTTTCTTAGCTATATAGAATTCAATTGTTTATTTTCCATTATACATATGTATAGATATAGAAATCAAACTAGGCTACATGTTATCTTTAGTTTTATTAAAATCAAAAGTAGATACAATGATCAAAATAAGCTCAACAGCTTAGTTAAAGGCTATGCAGTGGAAACAAATAAACCCTAAAACTCAGTGTCTTAATACAATGTATATTTGTTGTTCATGCAAAATCCTTTGCAGTTCAGACAATTTTCCTAAAGTAACAACTGAGTGTTCCAGGTTATGTCCATCTTGTGTCACTATCATTTCAAACAAGGCTTTCAGACTTCCTCAGCAAAGCCATGGAGTTCCACAACTGGCTGCTACACTTTGACAACTTATCTCAATCACAAGAAAATCAAGGCAACAAAAAAAGTCTCAGTTTATTTCAAAGAGGCAGAAAAAAAAAGGAATTCAGTTAACTGAAATCACAGTTCCAATATCTATTGTGAAAATGATGTGATACAGGTACTACTATGTTTTCTTGGAACTAGGGAAACCCAGGCTCACAGAAATAAGTAACTTCTCCACAGCTAGCAGGTGGTAGAGGAAGGTCTAATTAAAGCAGGGATCCAACCTTTCATCAATATACCCTGTTTGATGTGCATGCAGAACACATACCAGATCACTACCTTGACAGCTAAAGTTAACAGAGAAGTTAAAATTTTTCATTGGCATAAAATAAGGTTGTGTCCCACTTCCATCTTTTTAACAAGTAATTTAATGACAGACTATCAACTGAGCAAGACACATGCTCTTTCTAAAGAACACAGGAAAATAACTATTCTTTCACAAACAAATGCATTTTATTACTTTTAACTTAAAATGGTCTGAGTAGACAACCGGAATACTAGATTATTACTACAAAGGATTACAGATGAACTATTCCTAAACTCAAGTACACAGTAGAGTATCTTCTAGTATTAGTCAGATTTTTACCACTACAACTGAACATCTGAGGCAACTCTGTAAACAAAGTACTGTTTTGGCTCATAGTTTTGGATGTTCACAATCCAAGATCAGGTGGGCCCAATGGTTCCGTCTCCTGGCTGTGGCATTTGCTGGCACAGTCCCAACACAACATAGGGCATCACATGGCAAAAGGGAGTATGTGTGTCCTCACATATGTCTACTTGGTCCCTAATAAAGCCACCAGGATTTAATTATGGGGGATCCACCCTAACAACCAATCCAATCACCTCCCAAAGCCCTTGCCTCAAGATATCATAACTGAATTAAGTTTCAAGCATTTTAGTAATAGTAGCACAAGATTTTGGGAATCAACTCCTTAACACAGAGGTTTCTGGGAGATCTTCAACACACAAATTAATATTCAGACCATAGCATTGACAGTTATTTTTCAGTTTTTCTTTTGCATCTATTTTTTAAATATTAATTCACCATTACTTTTTATTTTAATAATATATACAGAGTTAGCCAAACTGTAAGGATGAAGGCTCAATCTTCCAGATTTCCAACAGTGTCCTAGAATTCTTTTTTTTTTTTTTTAATTTTTCCCCAGAAACGTTTTTTTTTAAGTTGAGTATTTATTCCCGATCCACTAGGGAAAAAAAGTCCACTTTATGCAGCTACCCTTTAATTCATTTCTTCTGAAGAAAAGTACAAAAGACTAGACTAAAATTCAGAGAGGCACTTAAAGGAAAATCCTTTAACTAGGAGTCCAAAAACAAACTGTAAATGCTTAATTTTTCCAAAAGAATTAGTTTTTGTATAAAATATGAACACTTTTACACTATAAACAAAGACTGTTGTACATACACTTAAATTAGAATTCTGGTATCTGCTTGACCTCCAATTTGTCTCTAGCACAAAGTACACTTGCAAGCCATGATCTAAGAACCTGAAAAGGTAGACATCTTAGAATAAGTTTTAACCTGGCCGGCGCCGCGGCTCACTAGGCTAATCCTCCGCCTTGCGGCGCCGGCACACCGGGTTCTAGTCCCGGTTGGGGCGCCGGATTCTGTCCCGGTTGCCCCTCTCCCAGGCCAGCTCTCTGCTGTGGCCAGGGAGTGCAGTGGAGGATGGCCCAGGTGCTTGGGCCCTGCACCCCATGGGAGACCAGGAAAAGCACCTGGCTCCTGGCTCCTGCCATCGGATCAGCGCAGTGCGCCGGTCGCAGCGCGCCGGCCATTGGAGGGTGAACCAACGGCAAAGGAAGACCTTTCTCTCTGTCTCTCTCTCTCACTGTCCACTCTGCCTGTCAAAAAAAATAAAAAAATAAAAAAAAGAATAAGTTTTAACCTTATTAACACATTATTAACCTTATTAACACATCTGAAAGACAGCACTGATTCTTTCCTGTGGCTCAATGTCTGGAATATCAGTAAGTTTAAATTTAGTTTACAAAACTTTGCCATATTAATATGAAGAACACATTAATGTTTAACGTTTAAGGATTCTCTTTTAGGATATAATACAATAGAGTGTAACACAAAATATAAAAGTTCACAATCTAAGTCTAATATTAATTCAGAAAACTTCAGCAACTTCTACCTTTACTGAAAAAGACAAACGTTTCCTTACCTCCTACTATAACATTATTCTATTTTCATAGCCTTTTTATGGAAAAAAATAAAGATAAAACTTGGTCATATTACCTACAACTATTAGAAATTGAGTTGAGAGACGTAATATTTAGAGCACATAGGCCATCCATTCTCCAGATATTCTAAAACCTAGCCCTTGTTCAAGTGACAGCAACACAGAACTGAGCACCTGAACCACACACACTCCACTAATTACTTAAGAACTACACTTCAATATGATAGAAACAATCCATGCTGAAGAATGTTAAAAGTCCCAAAAACAGTGGCCACCAAGATACTGCCTAATAAAGCTGTAACAATTTCTAATAGTATCTGTAATTCTAAGCAAAAGCTTTGTCTGATCTTATAAACCCTATCACCTAGTGCCAAAGACTAGAAATTTCAAAGCCAACCTTACAGTCTATCCATAAAGTATCAAATTGCCATGACTATGCTTTCTTCTACACCTACTCCCACCTTTTTCATTTTTTAAATCTTAAGAGATTTATTTATTATCTATTTGAAAGTCAGAGTTACACAGAGAGAGGAAGAGACAGGGAGAGACAGAGACGTTCCATCCACTGGTTCATTTTCCAGACAACTGAAATGGCCAGAGCTGGGCCAGGCCAAAGCCAGGGGCCAGGAGCTTTACCCAGGTCTCTCACGTGCGTGGCAGGGGTCCAAACACCTGGTCCATCTTATGCTGCTCT